AATGCCATTGTCCTTTTTTATCCTACTGTTCTCTGAGTTCAAAACTAGATGAATATGAGCTAAAAGAAAGTGAGGAGAGACTATGATGGGATCATAGATGTAGAGCTGGAAAAGTTGTTAGAGGTCACTGAGTCCAATACCCTCATTTTACAGGTGAGGAAACAGCATTTTTTTAGATGAGGTTAATTGACTTACCCAGGGTCACACTGCTAGTAAGTGTCTGAGGTGGGATTTGAATCTAGGTGTTCTTGTGTTTAGGTCCAGTGCTCCACCCATTATGCCACACTACCTCTCCATCAACTCTTTAGATTTCCCTGAAAGAAGACTAATTATGCTTTGTGAAGAAACCATTTGCTATAAAGTGTAAAAATGTTTTAATGTCTCAATAAAATTCATGACATATTTATAAACACTCTATCAAGGATTTACAACTGAGCCACCATCGATCGCTTGGAATGGAATAAATATGCAAGGAGACAGCTCGTATGAAATATACATCTCAACTTTATAATTGTGTGTGCTTTATTCTTTACACAAATGGAATGGATGTGTCAAATATTTACACTTAACAGGAGTGTAAGCTGTATAATGTCTCTGTAAAACCCCAGTTCGGACTCCAAGTACCCCCAACTACAGCTCAAGGTGGAGAAACATCCTGTCAGAGAGAATCACATCACCACAAGTGTTATAAACAAAGCATCAACTGGGATACAGCTTGGCATACTTGAAAATTCAGACACTCCAATGGAAACTTGGGAAACACAAAATTAAAAGGGAAAAGAAGAAAAGGCGATCATTCCCACTGGGAGTCAACAGTGCCATCTGCTTCTCTTTCTTGATGTTTTGCTAATGATCTACTGGGCTCCACCACTCAGGTAATCAATATCTAGATGTCAGACCATCCTAGGTTGTTCTCAGGTGCTCCTTCAGTGATGGGGCAGGCTACGATATGCTGTATGTTAACTAGTCCTGAAGAACAGGGTAGAGTGAAGAAAAATATTTACAGCCTTGTGCCCATGTGCCGGTATTGGTACAGATCCCTACACATGCCCAATATATATATATATATATGTGTATATACAGTATATATAATGGGTATATACTATAGATATACATATATAAAAACATAACAACAAAATTTGCATTTAGTTCACTTTCAAAATGATTTTCCCTGGGGGATGGGGGAAGGGTGGGGAGGTTCTTTCACCAACTTCAAGAGAACTGCCCCCTCTTTTTTTTTTAAGAAAAAAAAAAGAAACAAGAGTGAACCTCTTAGTACTTTGCTTAAATGTTCTCTGGGAATGTGACAGGACAATGGGTGTAGTTTGATCAGCAAATTCATTTTGTCTCAACGATAAAGTTGAGTGAACTCAATCAGGAACCAGCTGGAGTCCATGGCTAAGAGGCCAAAGAGGATGCTTCATATGGAAAGAGAAAAAGGAAAGCTTTGGAATGGAGAGAAGAAAAAGAAAAGAAAGAAAACCTCTCCCCTAAATGAAAACAACATCAGTTCCATAAGTGGCCTGGTCAAAGGTTTGGCTCCTTATGGCATTTTTTCTTTCTGGTCAGTACTTTTGCTCCTTGCTTATCCACAGGTGGCTTCTTCCTGAGTGCCAATGAGACTCCAAAGTTCAGACTGGTCTTATTTTTGGAAGTTATTCTTGCAGTGACAGTGCAAAGTCAATCAGTTCTCAGTAGGAGAATAAGAATCCCAGGAGGGATTAGCTGTCATCCATCAGGGCACTAGGCTGTTGGCTAGGAATTGCTGCTTGCCTGTAACTCACATCCAGCTTTGATCTACTAGAAAAGCAGGAACAATTCCATGCAAGGTGCATTTCCTGATGTCATCACATGTGAAGCAGAGAGAGTCAAAAAACTGAGAGTGAGGGACAGAGGGAGAGGGACAGAAGTAGAGGAAAATGGACAGAGGGAGGAAAGAGATGAGGAGGAAGAAAAGAAGAAAAGGGAGAGAGTGGGACAGACAGAGTAGGGGGTCAGGGATGGATAAATAAGAGATATGAAAAAATAGGAGTAGGGAAGGTAGATAAGAGGGAAGGAGGAGAGAAAAGGAGGGAGGAAAGCTAAAGGAGAGAGGAAAAGGAATGAGTGGAGATAAAGAGAGAGGGAAGAGCTAGAATAGGAAAAGGAGAGGAGAGCAAAAGAAGATGCAAGGAGATAGAAAAGGGGGGAACAAGAAAGAACAGGAGACAGGGAGAAAATTGAGAGAAATTTAAAAAAGAGGGAGGAGAGAGGGAGAGAAAATAGTGAGGGAAGGAGGGAAAAAAGGGATGTTGGATAGGGAAAGGAGAGTGGCATACCCTAGCATGGATTTTGTCCTGGAGGATTAGCTATAGATACACTGAGACAGCTGGAACGTGAAGGCAGAGAGTAAGAGTAGGGTTTTTCCTTAGTGACCTCCCTGAGCACCAGTGGCAAACAGGAGGGTATAGGCTCAGCAGAGAACGTAATGGAGGGGTGGGAGGGAAGATACCACTGCCCATCTGCGCATGGAAAGCAGAAATGAACATTTATGTGAATTGTTGCAAATGGGCGATGAGATTTAATTTTTGGTTGAGTGAAGACCCCTGTGGTGCTACACATTGTGCCAGAGCATGCGAAATAGCACCAGTGACACGGTCTGGCACATTCCCGAAAGGGTCCAGGGTTTGCATGTTGTATGGTGTGGGTGTTGTGCTGTGCCCACCAGAGAGCCTCCTGAATGGCAGGAGGGAGAGAAGAAGAGAGAGGGAGAGGGAGAGAGGGCGCCAGTTCACTGTTTGTTCGCAGGGTTAGCACCAGTCTGGTCCGAGGCTCCGAGTGCATCGGTACTAGATGTAACTGGAATCATTTTCCTGCCTTCTCTGCAGAAGTTACAGTTGCTGCAAAATCTCAGAATTGCAAGGAGCACTAAAGACTGTGTGAGGATGGGAAGCACAAAACATCAAGACAGCAAAGCCAATGGAAGAGGAAACTCTAAGGAAAAAAAAGACTCTCACCAATCCTTTCGGTGATTCTCAAGCTGATATGTAGTATTTAAAAATCTATATTAAAAAAACCAGTGCAAATGCCAACTCTAAGCTGGAAGCATCTAGACAAGGAAAATAAATAATATACTATATACTATAGAACAGAAGAGTGGTGGGGGGAAAACTTGATTGTATTCAGCCACGATACCACTATCAATTGGAAAGCACAGCACACGACCTCAGAAAACATGTACTCAGTTAAGGAGAGTCCTGGAAAAGGTTGCATGCTCAAAGGGAAAGAAACAAAACACTGTCAGAGTGGTTTGGGAAGGAAGGAAAGCTGGGGTAGTAGGAGAAAGTTCTGGTGTCAGAACACTGCTTGGGAAGTGGGAGGGTGGAAGCAATTTCAGTGAAGTGGGCCTGAACCTGAGACAATAGCAGTTAATGGACGTGGAAATCTCTTTAGGATCTGAGGAGCTCTGCAGAGTTCTCTGGAAGTTTCGATTGTAATGGGGAGGGGAGAAATCTGGGAATGCATGTCTAACTCTTCTGTCTGTTGACCCAAGACTCTGATTGAATGCACAGATGGATTTGTTTTATTTTTTAATCTTTTTTTTTTTTTTTGGAAAGGGGTAGGGTGGGGTGGTTTGCAGCCAGACAGACAGATGGTACTCAGAGCAAGATGGATGACTCAGTTTCTCTAAAAGGGACCTGACTTCTGATCTCTCTGTTTCTACTGCAAAGAAATACCATCAGTGCTGATGGTTGTCAGTTGCCCTTGTCTCTCCTCACCCCTGCTGATGCACCTGTTTACTGCACAGTGTGGCAGGACATACCTGCCAGGTCTGGAGATGCCACCGAGATAAGGCTGTGGGGCTTGGCCTCTGCACAGAGAGAATCGATAGGCAGTTCCACTCGAAGTCACTCAAGACTTTTCTCCCTAAATAACTGGGTGAAAAAGCTCTGAGGCAGCTGGGACAACTAGAAGTGCTGAATTTCATCTCTTGGTTCAACATACTGTTGAAATTTGGGAGGTTATCCATCTTCTTTCTCTTTCATTTGGTCCAGGTACAATCCCATGCAAGGCTGTGAGGGCAGTTCACCTCAGAACCTTGGCACGCCCTGCCTCATGGCATGGCCTTTGTGGTAAGGTGGAGTTGTCAGGCCTGTAATCAGTCAACAATCACCAAGCATTTATTAAGTGCTTACTATGTGCCAGGCACCGTGCCAAGCACTGTACTGTAGCTCCCAAATCAGGCACTTCCCTTCTCATCCTCTGAGACATTCAGCAGATCTGTGATAAAATTCCCCAGAGGTATATGTTGTCCCCAGCTGTCTATCCCCAAACCCTTGGTGAATGAAGTAGAAAGAAGTTACTGGTCAGCTAGAGTTTGTGCCAAAACATCTGCTCAGCCTTTGAGTGTTCTAGGAAGAAGAGAGCTGTCCAGGGATCCTTGACAAGAGAAACACCTGCACTATTCTTTAAGTCACTGATGTTAATTCACCCTCTGAAGAACCACCAGCTTAAAAATGCATTATCTCAGCCAAGTCTTGAAAAGAGCCTAGAGGCCAACTCATTAAGCAATGGTGTTCCATAGGAATTTATTCTCAAGAGCCAATGGGAAATCATAGGATTTAGTGCTGGAAAAAAGACCTTAGAAATCAGAGAGGCCAACTCCTCCTTTTACAGATGAGGAAACTGAGAAGCAGAGATAGGAAGTGCCTTGCCCAGTGTTACACAGGGAATAAGTAACAGAGCTGGGATTTGAATTCAGGTCTCTTGATTCCAAATCCAGGGCTTCTTCCATAACATCACATCTCTCTGTCATGGGAGGAAACTTAGAAGGGGGGGGGCAAGTCTGATTTTTAAAGAAATTAAGTTGTTGCTGAAAAATCATCAACAACCAAAAGGATAGTGCAACTTTTAAGTTCTCTAAATCTGACAGTCTGCTGAGGGCGTAATATACTTTGCCTTTCCATTAGTTGTCTTTACAAAATATCTCACAAAAACATTTTTTCACCTATATAAATTAGTTTCTATACATTTAATATAATTTTATTTTATAAATTATTCCATCTTTAAGTGCCTTCTTTCAGTATATAAATGGTAAAATAGACAATCAAAAATCATAAAGCTATTCCCAGATGGAACCCCCACCCCCATCATCAATAAGGTAAATGCTCCAGACACTTGACAATTTCATGGAATGCTTTCCTTTGCAGGTACCAGTCAAAACAACTACATGGTCACCACTTCCCGATGCAATGGTGTCTTTGAAGGGAACCATTTCCTTTCTTTCTGATTTTTTTTAATCGTTGTCTCTTTTTGCTAAGAAATCAAAGGATGTGCATAGTTACAAAATTCCATGTGTACCAATTACAGATGTGTAATGACAAACTTGGTGAGGTTCAAGAGCTGGGAACTTTTCTTTAAAGCAATCAACACACAGTACTCAGCCATTACCACAGGTTGGGGTGCCCACTGAGTCGAGGAGGCGGCTCGAACCTCTGGACAGAGAGCCCCATCAGAAATCCATACCTACACCTGGCACTTTGAGCACATGACATCTTTCCCACATACGGCAAAAGTCCTTGCGTTTCTACCTTTTGGCCCCTCAGTTTCCTTCATGGCTTCACACACGTTGTGTTGTACATTCATAAAAATTCACATTGACTGCAAGAACATAAATGCAACAAAAACATAAAAGCCTCCACGTAGTATATTATATATTTTTTTTCTTCTAAATACTCTTCTGTCATCATCAGAGGTGCAGCAGCTAATTTATAACTTCTCCTTGGAAGGGATCCAGATGAAAGGGCCGGATTGTTCTTCGATAACAAGTTTGCATTGGTTATATATATCTTCTAAGGTTTCACCTTGAACAATAGCTGTAATGAAAAAAACATTTATGGTCATTCTCAGAGGTTCTGGGTAAAGTAAAAAGTGTTGCCTTCTGGGATCATGACAGCTCAAAGTATTTTCTCCCTCCCTCTCTCCTCAAATTTTCCTGGCTTCCAGATTTTGTTCTTATGATCTATGCTCTATCAGAATTTTGTATATATGTTGCATCCCTTACAGAGGCAACTAGGTGGCGTAGTGGAAAGAGTGCTGGAACTGGGATCAGGAACAGCTGTGTTTGAATCCAGCCTTAGATACTAGCTGTGTGATCCTGAGCCTTTAACCTCTGTCTGCCTCAGTCTCCCCAACTGATAATAATAGCCCCTAGTTCTTAGGGTTGTTGTGAGGATCAAATAATATTTAGAAAGTGCTTAGCATAGTGTCTGGCACATAATAAGTGTATAATACATCCTTCCTGTCCTCACTTCCTGTCTTCCTCTCACACTCCCTATTAGATTGTAAATTTGTTAAGGTTGAAGATAATTGAATTGTATTGCATCCATTTAACCAGTTTCCAAATCCAATCAATTAAAGTTTGTTAACTATTATTGTTGTTCAGTGGTGTCTAACTCTTCATGACACCATTTGGCATTTTCTTGGTAAAGATATTGGCATGGTTTGCCATTTCCTGTTCCAGTTCATTTGACAGATGAGAGAACTGAGGCAAATGGGGTTAAGTGACTTACCCAAGGCCACACAGCTAGTAAGTATCTGAGGCTTGATGTGAACTCAAGAAGATGAGTCTTCCTGACTCCAGGCCCAGCACTCTATCCACTGCACCACCTAACTGCCCTGTTGTTAACCATACTCTTGTTTTAGGAGAAATAGGAAAAATAGATTAAATAAACTCACATCAGGGAATTTTTTTAAAAGAAGCTTCGTAGGATGAGGGCATAAATACCTGTTAACTGAAAATGTGCTATCCCTTCAGTAGAGTATAAACTGTTAAGGATGGCACATTTTTGATGTTTGTTTTAGTATCCCCAGATCCTACTACAATGCCTTGCCCATATCAGGGGATTAATGAAGAACTGTTGAGTTGAATTAATTTAGCCCAATTTTTACACCTTCCATTGAACCATAGTCACAGTATAATGTTAAAAAAAAACCTTTAAGGTTTTCTACATACCTCAGAAGGTAGTAAAGAAAACATTTTATAAACCTTAATGCCCAGCTCTTAGTACAATGCCAGCCACATAGTAGGTACTTAATAGATGTTTATTAACCTACTATAGAAATGTGACCTGTGGGTTCCCATTGCTACATAGAATAAAGTTTTATATAATCTATATAAGTTATGTAATCTCACAATCTATATAATAAAGATTTTCATTCAGAAGCAACTAGGTGGTATAGTGGATAGAGTGGTAGAGTCAGGAGGAACTCAATTCAAATATAGCCTTAGCCACTTACAAGGTGTGTGACCCCAGGCAAGTCATTTAAACTGTTTGCCTCAGTTTCCTCATTTATAAAATGGGGATAATAATAAGACCTTTCTCTCAGGGTTGTTGTGAGGATCAAATGAGACAGTATTTGTAAAGAGCTTGGCACAGTGCCTGGCACATAGGTGCTTAATACATACTTATTGCCATCCTCTTCCTTATGTAACCTATATAAACTATGTAATTTATAATGCATGTAAATTATATGATTTTAGAAAATCCACTCTAGCTCCTTCATTTCTCAAGATGAAGAAACTAAGGCCCAGAAGGTCAGGTCACTTCCCCTGTCAGTAAATGCACATACACACATATGTATGTATGTATACACACATCAGACAGGTCTTTAAAGAAGTCAGCATTATGAGACTGTGGTGGCTTTACCCATCCCTCATGTCGACATTATCTCTTTGTCATTTGAGTCCCTGGCTGCATTTCACTCACACAAAAAGCAGATCCCTGTTTCTCTTCCTGTTTTCTCCTAGTTTAGAATCTCAAGCCAGAAATTCTTACCATCTGAGCTAGAGGCCAGAGGCTTGGCCTTTGGAACAATTCTTTAATTGTGCCTTATTTTAATCAAACTTGGTTTTCAAACTGCATCTGATAATGTCCTATAATTTACTATTGCCATGGTTTCCAAGAGATTTCCTTTAAGAAAAAAATATGTCTTTGTTGTTATATGATATGACACAGAAAAGCACTGGGGACAATTTCAATACCAGGTGCTGTGGAAGATAAAAATTTTTTTAAATTCCCTCTTTAAGTGAGAGATAACACAATTCTAAGTGAAGATTTCACAGCAAGTCCTTGAGGATTTTTCTTAAAACACAATTTTACACTAATTTGGTCTTTTTCTTGGTGATATCTTAAGGTGGGACTGGGACTATGAAAAAAAAATAGGCCCTTTTTGCCACCTGCTTTCAAATTTGCTTTCTGGGAAATATAGAGAAATGAAAAATAATAAAGTCCATACCCACTGGACAATGAGAAATGCCTTTTCTTCAAATGGAGAGATTCTATGTTTTAGGGGTAAGTGATCAGAAGAACACTTTCTACCGAGATAAACCAATATAGATTACCAAGATATATTACACATCAGTAGATGGTTTGACCAACTTCATGAGCTCTATATTGTCATGGTTATGTCTACTTGATAACGAATGAATTATTGATGAACATGGTGGAAAGCATACTAGCTCTGGAATTGGGGAACCAGGATTCAAAACCTGTCTCTATTGCCTATGATCTATGGAACTCGGGGAAAAGTTACTTGACCTTCCCAGGTCTCAGTTTCCTCATCTGTAAAATAAGGGGGTTAGACTAGATGGCTTCTGGTGTCCCTTCCATTTCTAGATCCAGGATGTGATCATCCCATGATTTGCAACTTAGAAATAATGCCAATTGCTTTGTTTAAGTTTTGACAGTAACCAGGGAATCAAGATGCTACTTTTTAAAATAAGAAAGCCTTTTTTGGGCTACTATAGGAATGTAGGATCACAAATCTAGAGCTAGAATGGACTTGACGGGTCACCTAGCTCTGATACCTCATTATACAGATGTGGCAGTAAGGCCCAAGGGAGGTGGGCAGCTAGGTGGATAGAGCTTTGGGTCTGAAGTCAAGAATTGTTGTTGTTCAATTGTGTCCAACTCTTCCTGACCCCATTTGGGGTTTTGTTGGAAAAGACACAGGAGTGGTTTGCCATTTTCTTCTCCAGCTCATTTTCAATTTAGGTAACGGAGGCAAACAGGGTTAAGTGACTTGCCTAGGGTCACAAAGCTAGCAAGTGTCTGAGGCCAGATTTGAACTCTGGTCTTCCTAAATCCAGGCCTGATGCTCTACTCGCTTCACTATTAGGTAGAGTGGAGTAAGGAAGACCAGAGTTCAAATCTGGCCTCAGACATGTACTAGCTGTGTGACCTTGGCAAAATAACTTCTACTTGCCTCGGTTTCTTTATTTATAAAATAGGGATACTAATAGCACCTATCACAGGGTTGTTGTGAGGATCAAATGAGAAATATTTAGCACAGTGCATGGCATATAGTAGGCACTAAAAAATGCTATTTTTTAAAAAATTATTTTTATTTCAGTGATATGACCACAGAGTCTCCCAGATAGCACTTGTGACAATAGTGGGACTGGAACCCTAGGTCTTCTGCCTCTGACTCTAATGTTCTTTCTCACTGTAACATGTCCTTTTATGGTGAAAAATAACTTGCCCGTTAGTAATTAATTCACCTTTCTCTTCACATAACCTGCTGAATACATGTACAAATTGCCAAGTGATTGACATTTCCTAAACTCTGAATGAAGTAGATGTGAAAAATTCAGATAGGCCATGTGCCTTGTTAGGTAATAAGAGATGTCTAGGTAAGTAATTTTTAAATTACAATGGATCATTCATTAGGCAGGCACATATTGTTTGCTTAACCCTACATCAGTCATGTTACTGTGGAAACCTGACAAGTGAAGAGCTGTGTATCAGAATCACCCAATTTCAGAGTGGGAGGGGAATTTGGTTCCCCAAGTCATTCCATTATCAGCAAAGGAAACCTGTCTATGGCTACCCAACAAATGGCCAAGTCAGTTTCTGCATGAAGACTTTCAATGGGGGAGAACTCCCTTCCTTCCCAAGCAGCTTATTCTTCTTTTGGGCAGCTTTAATTGTTGGGAATTCCCCCCCCCAAAAAAAAATCAAGTCTAAATCGCTCTTTTCAACTTATTGAATTGAGTTGAATTCTCTTCCTCCAAATGTAAAGATTTTTTCTTTTTTGTATTTTGTCTTTTTGGCCTGAAGACAGAAACGTGATGGACAGGGAAACATGAGGGAATGAATACTCAATAGATTTTAAAATGCTATTTATTCAGGTTTGTCTTCCTGCCATCCAAGATTCTTTTTCAAAGATCACTGAAGGCAGAGTACACCTTTGAATTTTTTTTTTCTGGGGATGGGTTCTAGTCTAATTATCTACTATGAGTAGTTAAATGTCTACATATTGTTCCTAACACAAAATACTCTGAACAGGTGGCAATGCTTTCTCTTCAAAGCTCTCCCCTCTTCAGTACTCTTTCAGTTCTTCTCATTTCTGGGAGAAAGGAATAATTTGATGCTTTAACTTACTAATTTCCCTGAACAAAGAGGGTATTTCTAAGGATCTGGGCCATCTGCAAGCAGTATTAGGGATAGCAATCAAGGACAGAGTGGGATAGGGATGGTAATGGTGCCAGGCAGCTGAGTGTGCTTGAAATCATGTTAGGCTGGGCAATCAGTATTTGAAGTTGGAAAGTCAAAGATTCATAGATCACAGATTGTTAGGCTTAAAATGGATCTTGAGGATCATCTAATCCAACATCCCCATTTTCTTTATAAGAGAACTGAGGTCTACAGAAGTTAAGGGATTTGTCCAAAGTAACATGGGCAGTGAGTCATAGAGTTGAGATAGGAATGTGGGTCTTCTGATTCTAAAGCCATTGTACTATCAACTACACCAGGATCCTTCAATTTTTGAGAGTTTCTTGTATATCTATAGTAGTGCCTCCCCTTCCCAATAAGAGGAGAAATAGCATGAATATGGGAATGGAGGAGAAAAAGGAGGAAGCCATGATCTTTTCCTTTCTCACTATCCTATGTCTGCCTTTTGGTCAAGAGGGTGATAAAGTTAATGAAGGAGAGCCTTCTTTGGGGGCCCTATAGCTTCTATGGATTATTAGTAATAGTCAACATTTATAAAGTACTTTAAGGTTTGTAAAATGGTCACCTAGTTCAGATCCCTCATTATACAGATGAGACACTAAGGCCCAAGGAAGGGGGTAGCTAGATGGTTCAATGGATAAAGTGCCAGGCCTGGAGTCAAGAAGATTCATCTTCCTGAGTTCAAATCCAGCCTCAGGTACTTACTAGCTGTGCGACTCTGGGCAAACCCTGTTTGCCTCAGTTTTCTCATCTATAAAATGAGCTGGAGAAGGGAATGGCAAACCACTCTAGTATCTGTGCCAAGAAAACCCCAAAAAGGGTCATGAAGTGTCAGACATGACTAAAAAAATGATTGAACAATAAATGTTTGTAAAATGCTTTACGTAATAATAATTGATATTTCCTTAGCACTTTAAAGTTTACAAATTGTTTTGATATGCATTAATTTTTTGATCTTCATGACAGTCCTGTGAGAAAGCAATACAGACATTACTATCCACTGTTACTGATAAAGTTTAAGTGACTCCTCCACACTCACACAGTTAGTAGAAGCCAGAGGCTCAGTTCAAACTTTGCCCAATATACATATTGTTTCACTTTCGTCTTTGCATCTCCAGTGCCTGGTACATAGTAGGCACTTAATAAATGCTTGTGGAAGTATTGCTTGAGATATGTTGTCTCATTTGATCCTCATAGCAACTCTGGGAGGTAGTTATTGGGAACCTGGATTCTCATTACCATGGGAACCCCAAGAGACACTAGAACATTTGCTTGGCACGAATTAATCTATATGGCATCTTCACTAGGTGACAGATTTAAGAAAACAACCATTCGCTACATCTGGGGTTATTTGGGAATAGATTTCCCATTAGAGATAGGAAGATTGGGCAGCCTTTATGAAGCACCCAAATATTCCTAATGAAGGGAATGGGTGGGAGAGATTTAAAGGAAAGAGAAAAAAGATATTTCTACTTAGATTCTCTTTTAAGATTTTTAGAATTTTTAAGAATTATTTGAAACTTGAATTCTATTCAGTGTATTTCAACAAACATTGCTTAATGCCAAAGCTGAGCAGCGTGGATTCTAGATCAGTGAGGCATTGAACAAAATCTACTGCAGTGTCCAATACCCTCATGTCACCCTAAATGTCTCGAGGACCAGTTTTATGCCCCAGATGTGTCTCTGCTTACCCACTCACTATCTCATAGGTCAGGACATTTATTGCCTTCTGACAACACATGGCATAGTAGCTGATACATGCCTACCTGTAAAATACTCTCCAAATTCTTGCTCTAACTTGATAGCTCGGTCATAGGTTTTCTTGGCTTGTTCCTCTGTGAGACGCTTATTCATCTCCCTAGGAAAATGAAGGATAAAATGCCAGTTAAAATATACCATGAATGAATTATTAACCCCTGAAACTGCTTCCCTTCCTCCATGCTGCCTCCCCGACATACATACCGCAAAATAAAATATAAAAATAAGTCATGGGAATTTTCCTGTTCCTAATTTAGGAATGGAATATCTAGAAATATTGTGATTCAGTCTTAACCTGGTAGTTTTAGTAACGGGAGTTCAGTGCTTTGTGAAGCAACCATTATTGAGCAGCTATTATCATCATTATTACTATTACAAAATTATGCTGAGCTAGAATTTGTCTCCATGTGCCGTGGTCCACCCATTGCTCTTCCCTCTGACCTCTGGGGCCAAGCAGAACAAGGTTAATCCCTCTTCCGTGTGTCAGACCTTCAGATGCTTGAGGGCTGCTATCATGTCTTCCCCTTCCTTCTCTCACTGTAACAACTATGTTTTCTTTTGACCATGCCAAGCATTCCCCATTCATATATTCGTTGGATAATATGGCTTTTTGTCTTTTTACCACTTGGTTACTCTCCTTTAAGACGTTCATGTTTGTCAATGTTCCTTTTAAAATGTGGCTCCCAGGACACACTCCAAGGCTCCAAATGACAGTGAGAGGGAAAAAGGAGAAAGGAAGGAGATAATTGACATTTCTGTCAATGTTCCATTGTATGTTTGTACTTAACAGAACTGACTCTTACTAATGTGGAGTTTATAGGATCATAGATTTAGAGTTAGAGGGGGCTTTAGAGGTCATTTTGCACACAGATTAGAAAATTTAGGCCTAGAGAGGAACTGAGGCAGTAAAGTACCAAGAGCAGATAAAGGAGGTAGAAGGGGCCAGGCACCATAAGCACCACCTTGACCTTCATTTTCCCTTAGACCTTGATGGAGGTAACCCAAGACAATGTCCCCCTAAACCTTTGGACTTGCTCTAGGCCAGCTCCTATAGCCAGCACTGAGGGGAGAAGAAGTCATGGTGGAGATGGGAGCTCACTTTCCTTATCACCACCGGCAACATTTGCTGACCAACTGCCATAAACCTGAAGATAAGAGTAAGAGTAAAGGCCCTGGGAGTGGCAGCCTTCACCCATTGCCACACCACTGGTCTTGCTCTTAGAGCCATCACCTGGAGAAGCAACTTGTGTGAAGAAGAAATCAGCCTTCTTCACCAAGTGTCAACCTATGGCCATACACATAGCAGGCGAACCAACCTAGGCACCCCGAGGGAGATACAGGAGGTTGAACAAACCAGGCAAGTCAAACAACCACTTACATCTTGACCACCATCTCCCCTTCACTCTAATGGAGACAGCCTAGAACCCCAAACCCAAGAAACTGCAATAGCAATGCAGCCATTGTCCTGGGAGGGCAACCTTTGAGGACACAGAGTTTGGCTACTGCTCCTGTGAGTGCTTCAGCCACAGCTACTGAAGACCCATAAGATAAATGTATCATCCCACAGGTCCTTTGTGCTGTCACATAGTTTCACATTATAAATTAGTCTAATTTTAGCAGTGGAAATGACATTCAAGAAGAGGCATTAACATTTATTTTGCTGCTGCACCCTAAAGACCCTGGGACCTTTGCATATGACTTGAAGCTGAAATCTTCCATGAGCATTGTCTCCCCCATTAGAATGTGATGCTCCTAGACAAGAGGGATTGTCTTACTTTTTTTATCTGTATTACCAGAACTTAGTGCAGTACATGTTTCTCCCTATTCCCGTCTATTTCCATTCGGCTATCAAAGTGATCTTCCTAAAGCACAGGTCTAACCACGTCACCCAACTCCAGGATCAAATATAAAATCCTCTCCTTGTCATTCAAAGCCCTTCATATTCTGGGGTCCTCCCTCCCCACCTCCCCTGATTCCCCTCAACATACTCTCTAATCCAGTGACTCTGGCCTCCTTCCTGTTCCCAAGTGACATAATGTGCAGAAAGTGCTATCCAAACTTCCTAGCACTATATGAATGTCACTTATCAATCAGATTGATAATGGTTGTGAGGAAATCTCACTTGCCCAGTCAGTCACCCTGTGACCAATGGTAGTGTACTGGTTGTCTGAAGTGCTGATAAAAATTTTTTTTTTGATGATGAAGATAGAAAAAAACTTTTTGAAAGCATCATAGATTATTAGAGCTACAAGGGATAATCTAATTTCTGTCCCCTCCCATCCTATGTACCCACTTTACTGGTGAGAAAACTGAGAAGCAAAGGAGTCAAGTCAGTGGCAGATTGAAAACCAGGATGTGAGTCTCTTGATTTTGCCTGTAGTGCTCTTTACCCAAAATCAGAGGTTCCTAATGTTTTTTATTCAGCAAATCTTTTTCAACAAGAACCAAAAAAATTGTTGTGAACTTGCAGGGTAATTTAATATACTGCTTAGAAGCATCAGAATTTGATGCAATCACTGCGCGAACACCAAAATCATTGACTGGGACAGTTTTGATTCACTTCAGAAATAAACCTATAATGCTTCAAACATATACATGCCTAACTGGCATGGAGGAAAAAAGATACATATATTTGTAACATAACTGGGCAATTACTACTTAAGGTACTATTAAAGAATTTTCAGCCTGAAAACTTTGGACCAAGGAGTTCATGAGCCACTAAATGGGAATCACTGCTCTAGACCATACCAGAATACCTTTCCTGTAACATAGACTCCAGGTAAATGCTCCTTACTAGACGATCAATCCATCTATCTTAATTCAACTAAAAGGGACTCATTCATTCATTCATTCATTGGTAAACATTTACTTAATGCCTAGACTGATGCTTCTTCTAGGTTGTATGGGCACACAGAGCTGAATAACACAAGGGTCTTGTCCTTAAGACACTATAATTAGTCTATGAAGGCATCTTCCTGCTCACCTAAGCATGGCGGAGACAGAATAGAGAGCTAAGAGGTGGCAACAGTTTATATTAGATGGATATTATCACGGCATCTGCTCACTTCCATCACCCTATGTTCCAGCCAAACTGGTTCACTTGCTCCCCTTCCTCATCTAGAATATCTCAACTCTCACTTCAATGCCTGCGTATGCCTATGTGTCTTTCATGTGCCTAACGTGTTCTCTTTTCTCAGTACCTCTTGGAACCTGTGGTTTCCTTTAAGACTCAGCTCAAATACCACTTCCCTATACAAAGCCTTTAATGCCCTTCCTCCACTCCTGCAAATTACTTTGCATCTACTTTCTCAAGGTCATATGGCTTGGCAAAACTAGTAAGAGAACGGAGATATTTTGACTGTAAGTCCAGTGCCTTTGCTAAGAAAATCATATTAATAATAATACTAATAAGTAGTATTTATATCATGCTTTCCAGTTTGCTAAGTACTTTACATGGTATCTCATTTGATCCTCACAATAATCCTGATTTGGGTGATATTATTATCCACATTTTACAGGAGAGGAAACTGAAGTTATAAATGAGGTTATAAATGACTTATCTAGAGTCACCCTGCTAGTAAGGCAGGATTTGAACTCAGGTGCAAATAAGAAAGACTAATATTCACCTGGATATGGAGAGATTCTTTGAGGGAAGACGAAGACATGCTAATCCCCTAGCCCAGAACTGGGGGTGGGGGATGGGAGAAATATACAAATAGAAGAGATATCTTGTAAAGGAGGCTTGGGTTTGTGGCTTTATGCTATAAAACAAATGCCCGTTTGATCACAAAGCAGAATCTGATGTGCCAGTCAGGTAGGCATTCACTGAGGGCTTGTAAAAGGGAATATGAGGATGCATGCTGGAAATGAGATAATGTATAAAGAACCACAATCCTGAGAAGTGACAGTGGCCATGCATTTGTTCCAGTTGACCTAGCAACTGCTTTTCCAGAATGCGAAAGGAAGGGGCCCCAACTCTGCTCCCAAGTCAATCCCTAAGGGTAGGTATACTCTAGGGAATAAATGCTCCCAAAGCTTGCCTTAGTCTAAAGGTCACTTTCTCTGTGGATCCCGTGGATTCAGCTGTACCAAATGAACCTCCATTCATTCCCCTCCTCCCCAGCAGCAAAGCAGTCAGTGTGCCTAATTTTGCTAAGCCTGAAACTCCACGACATGGAACAACCATTGAAGGGACAGTACCTGGAGGAAAATGTACAAAGCCTTTTCATAGTTTTATTATTTTAAATGTGAATCTGGCTAAAAAAGAAATCACCTCCATAGATTTAGATAGAAGAGGGATCTTTAAATCCAGCCCTCCCTACCCCTTTTTTAAAACATAAGGAGATAGAGGCCAGGGAAGTGAAGTGATTGGCCCAAGGAGACCCAGGTAGCAAAGAGCAAAGGTAACGTATGAACTCTTAGGGAAAGCCGCTCAGGGATACCAGTCCTTTGGTCCCACTCTGCTCTGCCCTCCCACAGAGATGTGTCCTTCCACTCTATGATTTTTTTTCTACTTTGCAACCACAATCAATTGGAACATCCCTAAGGTTCTTCCTATTGCCTACAAGTATAGCACCACAGTGGAAGAGATGGGTGTCCCCCTTAGATCTACTGGCAATAGCTGCTACCTGCCTGCCCCCACAAATCAACTGTGTTTTCTGCACTCGAACAATATTGTAGATCAATATAGACTAAATCCTTTAATATGAAATATTGTCTGGTAGCTCTCTGGTTTAAGGGGGACAGAGATTGGGAGCTGTGGAGAAGGAAGGAGCCAGAAATAAGAAGATCAAGCATTAAGAGAGAAAAAGGATGAGGGTTTTTTTTTTTAAGTTTAAGAACTAAGTAAGAACCTTTGGAAGCAAAATTTGTGCTGATGATATTTGGCAACACCAAGCTTGAGCTATGGGTATAGCTCATAATTGTCGTATTTTTGAGAGAAAGTATTATTGATGACATTGACCTATGCTTAGAGTTGTAATTAAGGAAAGGTGGAATCTTATTACAGAGCAAACCTAAATGCCAAGGGAAAGAATCTAAAATGTCACTTGTTCCATATACCCATATTTCCCCTGGAACTGCTGCCTCAAATGAGAGGCAATTCAATTACTATTGCTTTCTAGCAATTAACCTCACTCCTTCCCCACTCCCTCAAATCCTGGGAAAGTGGAAAAGAAAAACTTAGGAAACAGGAGTGCACACATTTCCAAGGAACTATTGGCCTTCTTCCCCAGGGTGAGTCAAATAAACTTCAATTTTATAGGGATTTGGCAGGGAGGAAAAGGAATGCATAAGTATGTGGCAGCAGTATCAAGAGCTTCAAAACAGAGATAAAAAAGGCATTATTGTGGAACCGAGGGGATAAGACGGGAATGGAGATGACCTTCCTTATACTCACATCAATGGCTCCAATGACTTCGGCTTAATGAAGATGGCAATGGGATAGAGTTGTGCGACTTGTAACCGCTTGATAGCATTTCCTGATACATCCAGTATGCAGTGTTTGCCCTGGTAGAAACAGATGTATACAGAGTCTTAGTCAAAGAATCAGAGTTTGGAAGGGAGCTAGCTCAACCAATTCAACCTCCCACCTGCTGCTGGAATCCTTACTTGTACCATCCTTGACAAGAAGGATTTACTTAGCTTTGCCCAAACAAAATGGGGAGAGGAGTGGTTGGTTGGACATTTCAGTGATTAAGAGCTCACTACCTCCTAGAAGCAAACCATTCCATTTGGTATATTTCTACCAGAAAAGTCTTCATGTTGAGACAAAATATGCCTCCTTATAACTTCTACCAATTGCTTCTAGTTCTGTGATATGAGTATATGATTTGATATTTCTCAGGCCAAGCAAAACAAGTTTTCACATGACAGCTTTTTAAATACCTGAAGAGATATTTTATGGCCCTACCCCAAGGTCTTCTCCAGACAAAACATCCCTAGTTTCTCGTAGCCCACAGTTTCGATTCCTCTCACCTCCTGGTAGTCCTCATCTGGACAATGCTCTTCTTAAAATATGAAGCCCAGAACAGTGCACAATCCTCTAGCTTCCAGTGAGCTCTTCCCTTCTCAGTATTTTTTATCTGGGTCACACATTTAACACTTAGCTAATTTTTAGGGATTAGAGAAAGGCCAATGATAAGATGCGAAGGAAAGGCCATACTCCAGATCAAGAACTTGCCTGGACTAATTCCAGAATGGGAGGCATGACTATAAAATACTATATTGGTCCAAATAAAGGCCAAACTTTCCCTCTAAATTTTGTTCACACAAAATCTGAGCATGGTCTCCAATGGTATCCTCTATTGTCCTTTTGGTCTATTTTCATGAATGAATTTTCACATTTTGGACAGATTTTGAGCAACAGACTTTGTATATTAAGAGATCAGTGTAAATTTGGGTGCTGTAATTTTTTCTAGTTACTTCTTAGTCAATAGCTATACTGGTAAAGTAGTTCCTTCAGCTGTGCATATTTCTTACTAAGGTTTTGTTTTTGTATTAAATGGCAGTGGGGAGAGAGTAGGAGAGAGAAAATAAAGGCTTATTAATTGAAAAATAAAGTAATGGAATATATTATGTATTTTTAAAAAAAGATCTACTTTCAAAGTGCCACCTACATTTAGTGGCCTATATTCTGATCACTAGAGGGTACGGTTTTCTTACAGGCCTCCTAAATCACCCTTGGCAGCTATTGCCAAAGAGGGTTTCTTAAATGATGTTGGGTTTTGTTTTTTTAATAGCAGCCTTGTGGTAATAGATTTCTCAAGGTGACTACTTTGAAGGCTGTACTCTTTTACCCACATAAGTTCTAGACTGTAGAAAAAAAAATCAGTGTTTTTTTTTTTTTTACGGCATTTATTTGGCTTATCCAGAAGCAAGGACTCTCTTTACTAGAACCCTGGGGAAAAGGAGATACATTCCCTACATTAGGTTCAACCTCCCAGGGTCTCATTAAATGTAGGCTGGAAGTGCTTTATATGTGGAGAGAAAGTGAATATTGTAGAAAGAGGAGGAGTTCAAAATCAGACACTGGATGGCTACTTATCCATAATCTCAACATGAACAAGCAGCTGAGTACAGTCAGTACTTGAATTTAAAAAGAAGCTGACTCTGGGAGTTCTAGACTATGCAACTTTATGCATACATTCCACGTTTGCTTCTTAAAAATGCACTTTTATATGCATGTCCAAATAGTAACTATCCGTTCTCTACTCAGGACAGTTCAAAATAACAAAGAGGATAGTTACATATACAACTAGAAAAATTGAAGCAATTACTGCAACACTCTTATATGCCCATGGATCTCTGTCATGGAAGTGGGTACTCCCTTCCTGAGTGTCCTGTGCTCCCATAAGTTACCACATGGACAAATGATTATGCTAATTCAGAGCAAAAACAATGTGTGTCATCATAGCCAATAGACATATTGGTTCTTGAGGAAAAGGAAAAATAAAAGCAACCTTCCAGCATAACATGTTTATTATTTTTGTTGATTACTGCCGATGACTAATCGAACAACATATTCCCATTTAAATTCTGAAGTCTTAACTGGAGTTCATACAAGCAAAACAAAAACAAAACTGCTAAGATCAAATCAAATTGGCACATGTTTTGTTGCAGTCAAAATTGTTTGTTCCCAAATTCCTTCATGAAGTTGGTTCATGGTATCTAAAAGGCACCCTAGTCAATGGATCAAGATATAAAAAGATTTAGAAGCATCATCTGGTAAGAAGCCCAGGCTTGCTGCTGCTGGATTTTCCTTCTCCACTCCAGCTCCAGGATCCCCTAAAGGGAAGAGTTCTTCTCTTTCCTTCCAATCAGGCACCCACTACCCTTCTCCCCCATCTCAGTGGCTTTGGGGTTTATCATAAAAGTAGTAATCTGGAACATAATTAGCATAGATGATAAAGAGAAACACAGATTCTTTACTTATGCTCATGACATTGGAAAGCCACCACAAAACAATATCTTGTTCAGTGGGGAGCCTATTACAACTCTATCACGGATAAAATGAAAACCTGCAAACGTCAGCAAGTAAATGCATTTAGATTTTTAGGTCCTTTCCCATTTCTAGGCCATCAATCCAAACGATTCCCCTACTGATATTGGAGCAGGTACAAACTCCTAATCCAAAGTGATGGACTGACTGCTTGGAAATTTGACAACTCCATTCTAAAGAGGATGTACCCACTCCAGTTGGGAAACAGACCATGGTCCCCTCCCCCCCACCTTGCTTATAAGAAGATGAGTAAACATACCCTCTCTGCAACAAATCGCACAGATTGAACGCTGGTTCCATATAAATTATCATTGTACTGCCCGGCTTCTATAAACTTATGCTCTTGGATATCTTTTTCCATTTGCTCTCTTGAAATGACAAAATGATAGTCTCTACCATCCACCTCATAGTCACGCTTTGGCCTTGTGGTATCTGTGAATATGGATAAGAGGAGATTAAAATTTTTAGGAATTCTTGTCAATCTAGACTTTAAGATTAGAGCTATTAACAGTGTGTAAAGTGGTGGTGGGGATTACTGTCTCTTTGTCATAAAGTGTTAGATTGTATAATAAGGGTAATCAAATGAGATAACATATGTGATCCCATCTGAATGGTAGGGATAAGCAAATTAGATGACATGTAAGTCTCTTAGTAACTCTTAAAATGCTACATAAATACTAGATATTATTCATTCATCAGAGAACAAGGTAGATACCACCTTAAGAAGGTAGAGGTGCACAGAACAAATACATTAGTAATGGCTTTCTATGATCGTAAAGGAGGGACTGAAGCACAGAATTACATCTTGCCATCTCATCCCACAGAAGGAACCCAACACTACCTAAGGATAAAAAGAGAAATAGTACTTACGAGGCACACAGGAGCCAAATTTGTCAGGGAATTCTGATATCAAGTCATCATTGATCCGGTCCTTCATAGGACCCAGAATAATAACTGGCCTAGTATAATTAACTGGGAAAAGGGAAAAGAAATGTGTTAATACAGAAACACACCTTCCATTTTCACCTCATCAGGAGTATGAAACCAGTCCTGTCCTCGAGATTCCTATGATGTATTAAAATGGATACACATACTGCCTAATATTTTTTTCCCTTGGATAAAGAATCTGTTAGTCCCCTGAGTGGGGGTATTGATGTTTAAGAGTGAATCTGTCTCTCTGTGCCCAAATATTGGAAGTTACTCACCTGGATGAGCGACAGCTCTGTTTATCAAAGAAAACAATTAAATATTCCAAGGAGTATCCCTTTCTTACCTCTGGTTATGTCTCTATGACATCAGCACAGTCATTAAATTTAGGCAGTTTAGAGGGAAAAAAATTAGTTAAATGAGCTATTGGGACAAAGACTTTGCAAAACAATTGTATATTTTTGTATTTTTTTTTGACCCATTGCATGTGTTCTGTCTGAATGTCATTTTCTGAATGTCAGCGGTATTCTCATCCAGGGGTGAGAACACTGAATTAGGAGCCAGCAGGCATGGCTTGTAATTGAAGTCCTACCTCTAATTCACTGTGTGATCTTGGGCAAATCACCCTGTGCCTTAGTTTTCTTACTTGTGAAATAAGGAGATTGAACTATGATGGCAACATGATAATTTTCTTTAAATACATTATTCAGAAGAGTTATGACTTATTTTGCTTGGACCTCGAAAGTAGAATTAGTACCAATGGGGAGAGACTGCTAGTAGGTAGATTTTAGCTCAGCATCCAGAAGAGATTCCTAATAACTAGATGTACCAGTAAGAAAATACAATGAGTTGCATAAGCAGGTAGCAAGATCTCTGACACTGGAGGTGTCCAAATGTCCAAATGTAAACATTTGCTAGGGACATTGCAGATTAGAATTCATGTCTTGTATAGGATTAGATGACCTCTAAGGTACCACACTTTTCATTCCAGATTGTGTTACTCCCTTAATTTTCTAGGGGGAATGAATATTCTTAATGAATCAATTTTTTAAAAAAATCAATAAAATTCAAAAGCAACATCTGAGCCCTTCTATTATGCAGTGAATCAAGTTGTGATTCAGACTTCCTACTGCAAATGAATCAATCAACATTTATTGAGTGCCTATTATGGGCCAGGCATTGGCAAATAAAGATATGGCTGGCCAATGATCTTTCAATGCCATGGAATAATACCTAGAGTTCTCTATTCTCTGCCTATGCATGATGGCATGATTTCAGGAGCACAGAAAAGGCTCCTTCTTTTCAGAGGATTCCTTCCCTCTACTTCATCTGCTGAATGATATTTTTCCATTACAAAAACTCTGAACTGTTATCATTTACTTACAGCTTAGTGTAAATGACGGTCTTTGCAAGGAGGAGAAAGCCTGACTTTTCATAACCTGGAAGTCCTTGTCCAGAATCATTGACATTGGAAGACCACTTTGGTCTCCATGAGGGTGCCTTGGATAAGGAAGGGGCATAGAACAGAGAGAACTAGAGTAGCACCCAAGATAAACTTCGCTGACTTAATATTTTTGCCTGTGGATGATAGGATTTTAAAGCTAGAAGGGCCTTTTGAGATCATCTAATTCAATCCTTTCACATTACAAATGAAGTAATCTAGGCCTGGAGATGTGGTGTGATATGCTTAAAGTCACACAGGTAGTAAGTAGCAGATCCAGGATTCAAATCCAAGTCCCCTGATCTAAAATCCAGGGTTCTCTTTCTGGATTTTACTTATTCCCCACCCTTCCCGCCCCCCACACCTCTAGGGTTGTTGTGAACATCAAATACGGTAACACGGTACACCAGTTTGCTCAGCCTTTTCCTCTACAAGGCATGGCCAATAATCAAGTCAATCTCAACCATCATCCAAAGAGAGTTTTCCTACAGAGAAGATTCAGGGGTAATTTTCAGTGATTTCAGAAGATTCATTGGAAGATTTCAATTGAACCCATCCACTAAAATGATCTTTTTTTTTTTTAAACATAGGTCTATGCTACCAACTGTCTTCTAATGGGTACCAATTTCAGAGACTCTGTCAAAAGCAGCCTTCCATGACAATCATTCTGGCCAAGAGTTAGCTCAATAAATGTGAAAACTCTGACCAGTGTCCCACACCGCCTAAAGATCTTTGCTGGTGTTTGCTACAACAAATAAAGAATAATAATGACAATTTTTTTAAAAAGCACAATATCACCAAGTTCTAATATGAATAATAATAATAGCTGATATTTTTATGATCACTTTGAAGTGCGCAAAACAGTAGACATACATGATTTCCTTCGAGCCTCATAACAAAATATTGACTTACGGGTGTAAGGGACCTGAGAAGTCATATAGTCCAACTGCTTTGATTTGCAGATGAGAAAACAAGCTCCCAGAGGGGGAGTGACATGCCAAAGGTCACACAGGGAATTAGTTGCAGAGCTAGCATTGAATACAGGTCTTCTGACTCCAAAGCTAGCATTCTTTTCACTGGATTAAATACCTATCACCATAGATTAAATACACTACCATTAATGTCAAGTATTAGCATTTCTATTCTACAGAGGAGAAAACTGAGGCTCAGAGAGATTGTCTAGCAAGTACCAGAGGCAGCATTTGAACCCAGGTCACATCCAGCACTCTATCCACTCCACCAATCTGTCTTTCCACATAGGTCAGTTTATAAGTATGTCTGGTTGTCTCAGAGCAGACAATCCTGGAACATATTGTGGTAGTCAGCTAGATGGCATGAAGTCAGGAAGACCGGAGTTCAAATCCAGTCTCAAACACTGACTAGCTATGTGACTCTGGTTAAGTCACTTTACCTCTATTTGTCTTGGCTTCCTCAACTGTAATATGGCCTAAAAATAGCATTTAGTTCTCAGATTTGTTGAGGGATAAAATGAGATAATATTTGTCAAGTGTTTAGCACAGTGCCTAGCGCATAGTAGGCACTATATTAATGTTAGTAGTTACTACTATTATTACTACTACTGCTGCTGCTGCTGCTGCTGCTACTACTACTACTACTACGACTACTACTACTATTATACTGTCACTTGCCCTTGTCAAAGCCAGGGAACCAAAAAAAAAAAACCAGGGGACTTACTTTCCTGCCTTGTGACAGGCTCGTAAGAAAGAATGAGGTCCTCTTGTCCTCCTGAGAAAAGAAAGAAAAATTACAGGTGATTAGCAGCAGATCATACAACACAGCAACCTTCTCTTGTCCCTAAGTATAAGAAATAGAGTTCAAAGTTAATTTTCCTTTCAAATCTCTCTTTGAACCATTTCCAAAGCTCCATCTACTTTCCCATGTCTTATTTCCCTGACTAAATGGCTTCATTAATCCTACCACTCAGTCGTACTCCCCAGTAGTAAGGTTCCTTGTCCAGTCCATAGGCAGAAGGCCATTTTGGGGTTATGTGTGGTCCAACTGGCTCATGGTTTAAGAAGAATTGTTCTGCCAGACTTTGTTAGTAAATCTGGATCCAGTATCTCTACCCAATGAAAGAGGATCTTATTCAGAGCCCATCACTGATTGAAAGGTTGTTGACATAAAGCTAGAAGTTTCTTGGATTGTGACAAAGCTTGTTACAGAGTGGCTCATGCTGAAAAGCTGTTTATTCATTGCCCCTATCCACCTGCTAACTCCCACCATGTGAGCAAAAAGAACATCACTTTAGAATAGGGTTATGATAGCAGATTTTGATAGGTGACAGATTTTTGGGCTGAGATTTTTCAAACAAAACAAAACAAAACAAACATAACATCTCATATCTCTGTGATTTTTGAGTTACCTTATTTAATCACTTGATGAAGCAGACTCAGAAGCAGTGGTATGGTCCAGGGACTCCCTAAGAATCCCTGACATCCATTTGGTAGTCTCTATGAGTTCAAAACTATTTCCATAATAATATTGAGATTTTAAAATTCCAAATGTAGTAAGTATTGATAGATATAACCCACATAAACAAAAGCTCTTTGGGAGAACCTCAAAGATATTTTAAGAGTATAAAGGAGTCCTGAACTCCAAAAGTTTGAGAACTGGTGCCTTAGAGAAAAGTGTTATTTAAAAAACAAACCAAATAACTCCTCCACCCCCATTTCATTTACTGGAACAGAAGATCCTAGGAGCAGGTTGCCTAAAAAATCACAGATTTGGGGTTAGTGATGCCTTCTCCAGTAAGTTGCCATGGGCCAATTTTGGTGGAATGTTGTTGAATCTGACCAGTTGTTAAATTATTGATGACACTTACTGCCAAAGCCAAGCTTTGAAACCCACGAAAGGGAATCAAAGGTCATGCTGAGAAATCTCCCAAATCTTTGAATAGTAACTGGGAGCATTTTTTTGTTCTGGTTCAGCATAGAGTGCATGATTACAAATGGTCCTTGAATACTAAATGGTTTTTTTTTTTTAGTTAATTCATTTCTGAGACCATGTTAGGATATAAATTTCCATTCAATGAATAGAACTGGTCACTCAGCCTCTCTAGATCATGGCCCTCTGCCTTTATATCAATTTAGCTGAATCACTTGCATCTCTTTATGTGAAAAAAGAGTTTATATAGACTATGCTCAATCCTCTTATTTGTAGGAGAGGATAAAACTAGGAAATGTTGCTAAAAGGTAGGGAACAGATATTTGTCAGAAACATCTGAAATGAGGGATAGGGAACGACAATAGATAATGTAATTTATTATATATTATAGATAATTTATAGATAATTATAGATAATGTAGATTATTATTATTACTATTAATAATAATAGCTAGCATTTATGTAGCACTATAAGCTTTGCAAGGTGCTTTATGTATGCTATCTCATTTGAGCCTGAGAACAATCACAGGTGGTAGGTGCCATTATTATCCTAATTTTACAGATGAGGAAACTGAGGCACAGAGAGGTTCAGTGACTTGCCTAGGGTCACACAGCTAGCAAGTTCCTGAGGCAGGATCTGGATTCAAATCTTCCTGATTCCAAGTTCAGGACTCTATGTAACGTGCCAGCTAGCTGTCTCATCTTGCTATTTAAAAAAAAAAAAACGTATTTAAATGTACTCTCTTAAAAGAGTAGCGTTATAATTTGATATTACCAATATTAGGAATGGATAGAGGTATTTGTTGAAATAATATATTAAGTGCCCAGAATTTAAAAGTGGACACTATCATTGTATTGCTTAGACACTTATGCTATGTAATAAAATAATATGAAGTAAATCAAGTGAAGGGGAAACAGTACTTCCTGTACTCCCTACCTCCATAAGACAAAATCCTGTTGGACACTTTGCTAGAAAATGACATGTTCATAAAATGTAATTATTTGATTAGTATGGAAAATGCTTATTGTTCAGTTGTTTTTCAGTTATGTCTTATTCTTCATAACCCCATTTGGGGTTTTCTTGGCAAAGATCCTAAAGTGATTTGTCATTTCCTTCCCCATCTAATTTTACAGATGAAGAAACTGAGGGAAACAGGATTAAGTGATTTGCCCAAGGTAACAGAGCTAGTAAATGTCTGAGGCCAGATATGAACTCGGGAAGATGAGTCTTCTTGACTCCCGGCCTGGTGCCATATCCATTACACCACCTAGCTGCTCCTAAAATGCTTATTAGGAGCCATCAAAAGTTGTCACAGCTACCAATCCAGGGGTGACTTCTGTCATCATTGTTGGAAGACAGCACTAATAGCCATCTAAATGGGGGACTGTGTATAATAGGGTTATAGTACATGGATGCTACATGACTTCAGTTGTTTCAGATCATCAATAATTTTATCGACAAAATAATCAGTTGAGGGATGGTTTCTTAAAGCATATTTTTTTCCATAAAGGGAGGAATTTTGTACTATAGGAGACCCAGAAAGATTAGGACTTTTAGATTTATAAAGTCCTTTGATAACAACTTTAGGATGTAGTATGGCAGAAATTGTTATCCTCATTTTACAGAAGAGGCTAGAAAAGATATAACACTTAATTGGCCACTCAGCTAATAAGTTTTGGAGGCTAGATTTGAACCTGGGCCTCTCTTCCCTCCAAATCCAGTGTCTAGTGGGACACTGCAAGCCACAAATGCAAAAAAACCTCTAAACTGGGGAAGGGTACCTTCCAACTAGGACTCCCAAATTTAAGTGTCCCCAAATACGCCAGTGTCCCTAGCTCACTAGTCCTTGTAATGGTTTAAGAAGCTACTTTAGAGACAAACCCAATGAGATTTTAAACAGCCTGTCTGTAATTACCTATAAGTAATTCATGATTATAAAACCCTAGGAGACGAACTTTTAGCATTTCTGTCCTAGGATGTGATACTCCTTTGTCTAGTCGTCATGTTTCAATTTATTTCTTGAACGGCCAAACACATATACTTATTTATAGCAGACAGAATCACTCTGCTAAGCACAGCTCATGTGGCTAGGCATTCTGAAAAATAGCCTCTGATTTATAAGGTGCCATGTCACATTTAGCATTCCTCCAAAGAAGCCGTGGTGGGTGGGGTGGCGTATGATAGCTATGCATTCAGTTACTTGACCAATTTTCACTCTCAAGGTCAAGAATGGAAAGCCAAGAGAGGGAGGCAGTGTGAGCAGTCAAGGGAGGGAGGGGAAGAGAAAAGAGTCAGGGCTACCTATCAGACTATGAGCAAGGACAAGATGAGAAGGCGAAAAGCAATAAGAGAAAGAGTGGATGAGGAAAAGTTTGAGCCCGGGTCAAGGGCACATTGTGGCTTTCCTCTGTACATACTGACTAGCTGCTTCATTAGGAAAATGCTTTGAGGATTTAGAATTGCCTTGCTGTGGTTCCTTCTTTTACAGGAGCAAGCCATTTATAACTTAGTACATGGAAGATGGCACTGAGAAAAATTTATCACTCTGTGGCTAAGCTGGTGATGAGCACCTCCATAATTAGGTAGGTTGCTTCTCAGAGAGTAGACACAGAGGCTACTATTGGTCTGCTATTGGAAGTCTTTCTAGGTTGCTAGGCCCTGTAAGACCAAACCTGTACTCTGCAGGTACAGTCTTCAAGCCTCCAAGGTCATTTCAATGCCCCAATAAGGTATTGGGAGAGAACCTCAACAGAGAATAGAAAAATGCAGAATTCTGGGTTATAATTCCAATTTAAAAATGAGAGGATTTTTTTTACATCTCTGAAGCCGTAATTTTTTTTTATCACTGTTCATGATGCTGCAAAACGTCTTTAAAAAATACATACAGATCTGTAATCTGCAAGTATTGTTGTTTTCCCCCCAAACACAGGCTGTTTCATCAGCATTATAAGACAATTGCTATCAATACTTTATTTGTTTATAGGAGAGGTGCAGGCATCTGGGGAAAAAAAAACAACATATGCATTAGAGTCTCTGCCCATTTCATGGGCCTATTTTAAGAGCCACAAGACTGAGAATAAAAGAACAACTCAGGGCTGTGTGAACACCTGCCCACACTTGTCAGAGCATTAGTGGGACTCACTAAGGGTTCTTTGCTAACAACTTCTTGAGTAACTCAGAACTAGTACAGAGGGAGACCTATGTGGCATCAGGCCATGGTATGCCAGCCCAGCAGGAAAAAAACAGAATTGTTTCTATGCATGGATACTTGAAAGCTAGAGGACTGGAAAAAGGACAGTTTTTAAGAGCATTGTCTTGTAGCCAGAATAAGATGAGGATAAAATGGACTCTTGATATTTCAAAATGGAGAATGGGGGCTGTCTAATTAAGCAGCAAGAAGTAGAAAATACAAGATGGTAGTCTGTAATTTCACTCTCAAATTTAGAGGATTGTCCAAGTCCCTGATATTTCTATACTCTCTCCCTCCTCTGCCTGCTTGGACTCAAAAATATCCATTTTACCATCTGCTTTCTTTGATTTCTGGTAGCCTGTACCTTCACTTCACCCCTGCTCTGAGTACAGGGGGCTCCTTCAGATAGATAACTGGGAGACCAGATTCAAGTTTTGTTTTTTTAGAAAACATGACTCATTCATTTTCCTCATGCAAATTCCTCTGCTTTAAAATATTCCATTTGGGGTTTCTTTTTGGTTGACAAACACACTCAGTTAATGAGGTAGTCAGCCTTTGTAATTACATTGTGGAATTTTCCCTCAACTACATCTCAAGGAACATAACTGAGCTCTGGACAAGGCGGTTCTAAAAATGGGTATTAGAGATTCTG